TCATCATTTTATTCTAGCGTATTCTAGTACGACACACAAGTAAATGTTGTCGCAGTTACCACCATCTCAAAAAATACATTATCCAATAAAAGGAGTTTATCACTCGCATCACATTAAACAAGGTCACACCAGAAGCTCATAACCCAATTGCTGGAGAGAAAATTTAAATCATCTCAAACCAATTAGGATCTGTTAGAGAGTAATATGGAAAATATTACTCTTCTTTTGTCTTTTATCATTCTGTTATTTCATTAGAATATTCTAGTTGCCACCTGTCCTATTTTGTTATGGTTTGTTATTTTGTAATCATCTCTTGACAGCTGTACCAGCAGGAGGTAGCTTCTATAAAAGGCTCCTTTGTATTTCTTTACAAGCAAGTCAAATGAAATGAAAATATACCCTTCTAATTTAACCTTTTTCTCTGATCCTCTCTGACATGGTATCCACAGCCAACAGCTTTACAGCAAAACCCTAATTCTTTTCTTTTCCTTCTATGGCAATCGTTAATCTCCACCCTTCCGCACCCCAATATTTTTCAACCGCCATCGCTGAGAAACTTGATGATTCAAATTATCTTCACTGGCAACAACAAATCGAACCTGTTCTCAAGTCGCATAAGCTTCAACGGTTCGTCGTTAATCCTTTGATTCCCTCCCGCTATCTAAATGATGATGATCGTGCCATTGACAAGGTCAATCCTGAGTACGAAGCTTGGGATGTTCAGGATCAGATGTTGTTGACCTGGCTTCAACCAACTTTGTCAAAATCAATTCTCTCTCGTGTCATTGGCTCCGTTCACTCCTATCAAGTCTGGGAAAAGATTCATGAATATTTTCACACGCAAACGAAGGCATGCGCCCGTCAACTCCGTACTGATCTTCGTACTACTTCTCTTGATGGTAAAACAATGCGCGAGTTCTTGTCTCAGATCAAGAACATTGCTGACGAACTTGCTGGCGTAGGACATCCTGTTCCTCTTGACGAATATGTTGATGCGATTTTAGAAGGTTTACCACAAGATTATGCCCCGGTGGTTTCTGTTATTGAAAGTAAGTTTGCTACTCCTCCAATTGCTGAGGTTGAAGCTCTTCTTCTTGCGCATGAATCTCGCAGCAATAGATTTCGCAAACAATCCTTCTCTCCTTCTATTAATTACACTCATGGGTATGCTCGAGGTAGTGTAAATCGTGGTGGTGGCAATAGTGGTCGTCGTGGAGGTAGTTCTGGCAGAGGTCGTGGAGGACGTTTTGCAAACTTTCAATGTCAGATTTGCTTAAAATATGGTCACACTGCCAATATTTGCTTTTATAGAGCTGATGCAAATTATCAACCTCATGACTCTTTGGTTCTATATGATCCTTCAACTCTGCAACCTGTGCAGTTCAATCCCTCTCCATCCATCACCAAAGCCTCTAATACTTGGGTGAATCCCACCTCCAAGCAACTCAGTCAAGACACTAATGTCACCTCAGTCACTCCCAGTGCTATGCTTGCTAATACTTCTTCTCAGGGTGCTGTCAACTCTACTTGGATCCCTGATTCCGGTGCTTCCTTCCATGTCACTGGTGAGCCTCAGAATGTACATCAGCTTGGTCACTTTGATGGCCCAGACCAAATTTTCATTGGAAATGGTCAAGGTTTGCATATTAATGGTTCTGGTTTCTCCTCCTTCTTGTCTCCTATTAAATCCAATTTTTGCTTTAAATTGAACGATCTTCTTCATGTTCCCTCCATCACAAAAAATTTGTTAAGTGTCAGTAAATTTGCCAAAGACAATTTAGTGTACTTTGAATTTCACTATCATTGTTGTTTTGTGAAATCTCAGGTGATCAATGAAATCTTACTTCAAGGAGTAGTTGGTTCTGATGGACTTTATTCCTTCTCAAATTTAGAGCTTCAAGGCCCCTCTGTGTTGGTGTGGTCTTCAATGGCATCATCTGTTGATCCTGCTGTGTCTGCTTGTCCCAATGCAGTTTCTAATTCCACTACAGCAAATAAATTTTCTGATGTATCTCTGACTCCTAGTTCTCACACTTTGTGGCATATTAGGCTTGACCTCTACAGTAAGGTGTCCTTAGTCTGGTAAGCCCCACTAATGATAGACTATTGCCAAGGCCAAGGAATCCAAGAGGTGATATCTTAAGAGAACCAAGAGGAATGAGATGATCTTAAAGACCTTTTCATATGTTTGTACATATAGTAGTCTCTTTGTATAGGTTATTTTTGTCTTTGTATTTGTGAGGCACTTTACTTGCTTTTTCTAGTGTTTGTATATTGATTTTAAGATAGGTTACTTGGAGAGTTTAACTCCATTTAACCTCCCTAGTTGATACATTCATTTTTTATTTTTTCAGCAGGGAAAAAGGGGTGGCATTTAGCAATGCTTGAGGGTGTGACTAGTAATTGGGCCAGAACTGGGCCTAGGCAAAATTTTGCATATTAGACTCATTTTGCTCCTAATTTTTCATAGATTTGATTTAGCTAGGTCTCATCATCATATGATGAACCTAACTAAACCAAATCAAATATTTTTGAAATAAATCATGGAGCA